CAGAGAAATGCACCTGCTGGCTCCTCCTCGATCAGAACAGAAATGTGAGATACCTGTTCACCGTCACCATTAGATGTTCTGGAAGCCTTGCTAATTAGATGAAAATAAAAGAAATGAAAAACGGAGTGTTCCAGCATCTCCCATTCAGGTTCAGCTTTTCTGAAGCATGTAGAATTCTAACCCTGGGTGGAGCATTTTGCTTCTGCCCTGCACTTCTGTTATTCTCCAATTTAATCCAGGGAGTAGAGCACATTCAATCTGGTTCAAGTCAATTTCACACAATCTTGCTAACTGTTTCCGTCATATGCTGTAGGAGATAAAAGACAAATGCCACTCTCCCTGGTCTTAAATAATTGATATGCTTTAAAAAAAAAAAAAAGTAGCTTGGGTACACAGAATTGAATTAATCACAATCCTTGGTTCATGAGACACAGTCACACTATCATCATTGAGCCAGAGATGACCTTTGTTTAATTAATTTGCTAAATTACACATGCACACAGCTACGACCTACCCTAAGAACAACAGGGATAACCTGCTTCTTACTTTTGGGATAGATCCCTACCTCCTCATTTAGCCTCTCTCACTGTGCTATGACTTTGAGTTTGTTGGATTTTTTTTTTTTTTTTTGAGACAGTTTTGCTCTTGTTGCCCAGGCTGGAGTGCAATGGCATAATCTTAGCTCACCGCAACCTCCACCTCTTGGGTTCAAGTGATTCTCCTGCCTCGGCCTCCCCAGTAGCTGGGAATACAGGCATGTGCCACCACACCCAGCTAATTTTGTAGTTTTAGTAGAGACAGGGTTTCTCTATGTTGGTTAGGCTGGTCTCGAACTCTCAACCTCAGGTGATCTGCCCACCTCAGCCTCCTAAAGTGCTGGGAATATAGGCGTGAGCCACCACACCCGGCTTGACTTTTGTGTTTAGAGTCACTCCTCTCCTTTTTGTTCTAGTTGTTGTACACATAAATACATGCCTAACAATAAGTCTATATGGTTTGCTTTTATTGTTTTTAAATAGACTTTGGAGGAAGAATATAACGTATTTATTCAATGTATACTTAATGGGTGCCTTCTCTGTGCCAAGCAGTGTTGGGTGCTAGAGAATGAAAACAGCAAAAAGCAAACAAACAAGTAATTTCTGCTGTTATGGACAAGTAATAAGCAAATAAACAAACAAAAGGTTTAGTCTGTCCACTGGTGATAATAGCTATGGATAAAACTAGGGCAGGGAAAGTGGGGGTTGGGGTTCTTGCTATAGTGATTAAGATGGTGAGGGAAGGGGTGGGGGCCATGAGTGAATCTAATACAGCTGGAACTGGGGAGAGAACAATGGTCTCAAGCAGGTGACTTGAGCCAGACCCCAAATGTTTTTTTAACTTTTAAATTCCCATGTAGAAATGAAAATATGTTCGTTTCTTAAGGTCCATTAAATTGTATTCTCATATGGTAATGTTTTGATCAAGCATTTACAAAAACATTTAGGGCCATTCCCTTGGAAAAGTATTGAACTTAGAGCTAAAAGCCACTTCAAATATGAACCAGTCAAAACTTTCCATTTCGTAGAAGATAAAAATGAGATCTAAAAAGGCCAATTAAATTATATATACATACGTAAGTGTTACATATTATGAGAAAGGTACTAATGTAGGTTAAATTGTTTGTTCTAAACTAGAAAACTAATGGATAATAAAGGTAGATAGCCCAGGCTTCTCTTGAGCTCACAATGAAAATTTCTTCAATAGTGTCCATTATGATAAAAATCTTAGGGGGTGCTACCTCTTAGTCTAACCTCAATTCCTGAGAGAGAAAATTCAGTGCCAGAGATGTTAAGGATATTCCTTAAAGTAGGAACCAGCAGTCCTTTTAGGTTGTCTGAAGGATGGAGGATGGATAGAGATGTCTGCAGGGTCCTGCTGAAATGTCCCTTGCCCTCTCTGAAAGGACGAGCAACCAATTACAGACACCAGAGGCTTGCTCCTGGGTGCTCTTGGAGTAGAAGAACAGTGTGGGGGGTCCTGCTACCTGAGTTCAGCCACAGCCTCATGAGCACCTGCGTTGCCTGTTCCCTGCCTTCTTTTAACCATAGCTCCAACTTCTGGAGCCACCGGCCTGCCCGTTGAGCTTATTTTCCTCCTTGCCAGATGACCAGAGAGCAGAGGTGAAGCTCCCACGTTCTTCCTCACTCATAAGCTGGGGTTCACTCTCATGGTATCCCCTTCCCATTTGGAGTCTTCTGCTTTCATGCCTAAATACAAGTTTTGCATTTTGGGGAGTGCTTGGGGACCTGGAGAATCTCAAGAGCTTGATAGGATATTGGATGGGGCCACAGGGAGTGTTGATCAAAAACCACTCAGATTGTAGGTGGTGTTGCCAAAAGAATACAGAGGGCCCAGTGAAATTTGGATTTCAGAGAAAAGTATGTCCCGAGTGCCGCTATATAGTCAAAAGGGAGTAATAATTATTGCTTGGAAATTCACATTGGACTGGGCATTTTGTATTTTTATTTGCTAAGCCAGACAAGGTTATATTTGTGGGAGTGGGGTTAAGGTCATGGCAGTTGCCAGACTTTCCCTCTGTTTAAGATGGGGAAGTGGGAAAAAGAGAGAGAGGAGCCAAAGAAACGCAATGGTTCTTTAGAAGCAACATCCCTTCATGGACCTCTCTTTCCACTTGTTCTTTCATGTCTGAGGGCTGTGTGTGTCTGTGGGTGGCACACATACGTATGTCCCCCGGTGTTTTGTAGAACACGAGGAGTGATACTGGGGAGAACTGTTGATAGTGACACTGATTAGATATTGAATAAACAACATGAGAAGACTAAAAACTGTACAAATGCGGTTAGTTTAAAATCAACACAAATCACTGCATGTAAACTGCCTCTCCTTCACGTGCAATTGCCACAAGGCGCAATCACAGTTATGTTTGTTCCAGCCAATCTCTACATGTTTCCAGAGAACCATAGAATGTTACCAAAGAGGTCTAAGAAATTGCCTAATACAACCCCGACGTTTACTGATGAAATAACTGAGAATGAGAACGAGCAAGTTACCAACTGCGGGTCCCACTGTACATCAGTATTAATAATAGAAAAATGTTTTGTAAGAGCTTTCTAAGGGCTGGGCATTTTAGAAGTTCTCTACTTCACATTTTATTCACACAATGACCCTATAATCATCCTGATTTTCAGGGGAAGCAAGTTGAGGCACGGAGAATTATGTAATTTACCTAACGTTTAAGGTCATGCAGCTAATGAGTAGAGATTACTATTAAAAACCCAGCGAGTCTGGCCCTGAGACCCATGCTTTTCAAATGAGTTTGTATCACCAAACATGTTCATACAGGTAAACTTTCAGAGTTTACTGCTGCTGTAGCATGATTTTGTCCTTAATCAAGAGGTCACTCAACTACAGCTTATAGAAAGTTGATCGGACATGGCTGACATCAATGATTTCAGAGTAAAAGCAGTTATCTGCTCACTTATAAACAACCCTGTCACAGTGAGTCTGTTGCTGTAATCAGAGAACAATTTCATTGCATTTATTTAATGGAATACATAATACCATGATCTACTATCAAAGCAAATATTCGCAGTGAGATCGAATCAGTTTTATGAGTTTACATTTGAATTGCTTATGAAAGATGAGGAGGAGAAGATGATGAAGGAGAAGGGAAAATAGTGAAAGAGAGCGAGAAATCAAAATAAAGTCGAGGCACTTATTCATTGTTAGCCACAAAATAAACGGCGTTCTCTTAAAGAGAGACCCTACTGTCAGCACGCTGTCACCTCAATGCTGGCCCAGCCAGAGTAGTAATTACATCCGGAAAGAATAACTACCATTGAAACATTACGTTTCTAAGTCTTACATTCCACTTGTTTTTTCTCCTGTCTGTCAAGAGACGATCAACGCTTGCATCTCAGACTCCAGATTCCCTGTTTATCAGTGATGGGAGGATAAAAGACGCCTGCTTCTGCTTTGATATCATGTTTTCCCAAATCCACCCTTCCTTTTGACACAAAAGCCTGCATAACTTTCTTAAAAAGTGAGGCTGGAATTCTCTGAAGCTCCAGGATCAGGGTTTTCAGGGTCTATTTAGGAGACACCAGGACTCCCCAAATCCACTGAAATGGAAGTTGGGAGTGGTGCAAACGTTGCCTTTCCTCTCCACTGCACTTCAGCTGAAGGAGGGATCGATAGGTGTTTTGCAAGTCTACTATCAAGTACATCACCAAATCCTTTTAGAGACAAACCAGCACGCCCAGACCCTCTGCATTTCAACTGGCAAGGAAGCATTTGAAATGAATGCAGCTTCATACAAAACGAATCTACATCCTCTCTTCTTCAGAAAGGTGGCAGTGTTGCCTTGCAGTTTCGACCAAATACAAAGCAGCGGCGCGGTCGCTAGCTAATTAACAGATCAACCGCCTCACCTCACCACGGAAAGGCAGGACGTAATCCACTACCGACCCCGGTGGCTGGTAGACTCATCCCAGAGCGTCAGGGGCAGCGAGGCTTGTGACCGCCTAAGCTCCTGAGTTTTCAACTTGCGTCAACGGTGAAGATCCTAAGAAAATCTCCAGTTGACCCCACAGGCATCTACAAACCAAGGGCATCTAAGAAAGTCACAGATGAACCTTACCTCCTAGCAGCTACATTTTTCCTTTTTGAAACATCCATCCCACGTGAAACAATTGCGTTGGCCCCATGTAAAGGGCTACGAAAGCTTAGCAAACCATGCCTGTATCTTTCTGACACCTGTTATGTCAATATTCGCATCAGAGTTCTCCTAAAAGTAACCAATCTAAGTAGACGTTCTACATTATTGTGTTGTTAACCAGTTTTCTAAAACCAACATTATACACAGAGTTACCGAAAAATAACTTCAGAAGTCAAGTGTTGATTTGTCTAAACGTGGAGACCCACACGGACACCTTCCATGGGCACGTGCACAAACCCTTCTTGAGAAGCAGCTAGAGCTCCCGTCTCTCCCTTCCACTCACCTCCACTCAGCGTCCTTTGAGAAGTTTCTCCATGTGCCACTAACACAGAAATTTCGGGGAAATTCTCCATTTATAAATATCAGATGGTTTGGGAAAAAATATTTGTGGCACTGGGCTTTCTTTTTTTTTTTCTACAGTGATGTCATTTTAAATACTTGGTGTGCTCCAAATTTGCTATTTTTACTTCCTCCAAGTGACTTTTTTTGGGAAATACTTTGTTTGGATTAGCTACATTTTAAATGACCCTGTACCTAACACACAAACATCAGGTTCATCTTCTCAGCGATCATAACTGATACTACGCAGCGTCCAAGCTTGAAATCCCTTATTCGTTCGTCTCCAAAGTTGCCCCTTCTCAATGTACCCCTCCAAGATTTCTATTCACAGATACAGAGAAAATAAAATAGAAGGATTGACCTTTTCACAGAAGAACAACCACACTCTACCACCCAAAAGCACTTACAACGGAAGACACAAAAGGCCCCCAAAAAGTCAAATAAAATTCTTTGCTTCCACAATGTGCTTTTGGGGAACAGAGTTGAGGTAGACCTGGCAGGCTTGGAAACATTTATTGGAAAGCAGTTCTAGAGTTGAGAATGGCAGAAAAGGAAAGTTCAAGAAGGAATGCTAAATGCCCTACCTGATCTGAACTTGCTCCTAATCAGCAAGGAATGCTCAGACCCCAGAAGTGTCATGTTGAGGCTCAGCAAGCCGCGGGTCCCTTTGCCAGGCGCCCCCTGTTCTCCACCAGCAACAGGCTCCCGGGAGCCCAGCTGACCGCAGCTAACAACCCAGAATTCATCCAACTCGCCGTGAGCTCCCCTGGGTAGGAGTACAGTGGCAGCCAGTGTCCCCAGAAAACTGGCGCCTCCCCCCCTCGCCGTGCGGGGCTAATTAACTCTTAGCCGGCGGGACCCTCCTCCTCCTCGGAGGTTGGCTGGGGGCAGCGGCATCCCAGGCGATCCTGGCTGATGTCATAGGCTGCCGGCGATTGCGGAGAATCGCCACCACGCCTTTATGAAGGTCCCAACTTTGCCACCCGATACTCTTTACTACTGACAGGCGCTCAGCCAATCAGCAGCGGCGAGCGGGGCCCGGGGGACCCGGAGCCGCCGGAGCAGTCTCGGGAGCCGGCTCTTAACTCTTTGCAGCGGGCCCCGCGGCCTCCGGGGCGCAGAGGGCGGGAGCAGGGCCGGGGGTCGGGAATCCGCGAGAGGGGCCAGAGCTAAGGAACCGAGGCCCGGAGGAAAGTCAGAGGGGCTGCCACGCCGCGGGGCCTGCAGGTGGTGCGCGGGGCTGCGGCGGCGCGGGGAGCTCTGCGGGCCTGGGCATGGGCGTGCGCAGCCGGGGCTTCCCCGCCAGGGCTTCTGCCTGCCGGAGGGACGCGGTCGGGATCTCCCTCCAGCCGGCGGCAAAGGGCGTGAGCGCCCGCGGGACGGTTTGGAAATCAGCTGGACCCCTGAGAAGAAACGCCTCCGAAGGACCGAAGCCCACACCTTCCCCTCGGTTTGAGGGGCTCAGTGCACAGGCAGGGACGATTCTGTGTCTCGCAGCTCCAATACCGGACTTGGATGCATTTCCACGGGGAAAATGGAAAAGCTTGCATTTTTCTAGGATATGCTTTTTTGGGGGTAGGCTGGGGGATGTGACTCGGTGCATCTGGAGATCCAGCGGCGACTCAATGCTCCCACCTCCAAACCCGAGGGAATGGGGAAAGATACCTGAGTCTGAGTCAAAACCCTACTGGACTGTGAATAGGGAGGGGCTCTGGAGCAGAGGGCAAGCCAGAGCTCTGGTTGGGGTTAGCCTGGAAAGGCGCAAAAACTGCCTGCAAATGAGTCTTTCCATAGGCGAAAGTTAATTCCGTAACCGATCCAGAGTTATTGGAGCATCTTGCCGAGGTGTTCTAGGCACATGGATCAATGAAATAATACAAAGACCCAGCTCTCGAGAAGCTGGTTTAATAGTTGGTGGCTCAGAACATTAAAAAAAAACACACTCTATATACGTATATAATTAGGGTTGATTTGCAACCTCATGTGCACGTGGGTTCCCGGGTGTCGACTGTTACACACAAGCCTGCCTATGTCTTTACTACCAGTCCTTAAAAGATCACTCGGTTACCGATGGAGACCCGAGGTGACAATATAGCTCATGGGACAACCTCTAATGCCCTGAGTCCCGGCCTCTGCCCCATCCGTTGTTGCTGGAAACATATTACGGGGTTAGCCCTTGAGCTCAATCTCTGGATCTGAGCTGGTCTTTTTTGTAAATAAGGTCTTCAGGAATAGACACCTTCTTCCTGATGGGTCAGAGAAGAGGAAGAACAATCCGTCCATGTTGCCTTTGGGAATCTAGTTCTGGCCTGAACGCCAGTCTACAGGCTGATTTGGTGTGCGGGAGCATCTCAGCAGTTATGTAACATCATTTTCCCATTCCTGCTATAACCAATTACTGTGGATTGAGTGGCTTAAAACAGCACAGATTTATTATCTTGCTGTTCTGGAGGTCAGAAGTGCGTCTCAGTGGGTCAAAATCAAGATGTCAGCAGGGCTGCTTTTATTTCTGGAGGCTCTAGGGGGAAATCTACTTCCTTGCCTTTTCTAGCTTCTAGAGGCTGCCTGAGTTCTTGGCTCATGGCCCCTTCCTCCATTTTCAAAGCAAGCAATCCTGGGTCAGGTTCTTATTGCATCTTATCGCTTTAATGCTCCCTTCCCCACCTCCTGCTTCCCTCTTCTAAGGTAACCTTACTGCAAAAATAAACTCTAGGCCGGGCATGGTGGCTCACACTTGTAATCCCAGCACTTAGGGAGGCTGAAGGGGGTGGATCACCCGAGGTAGGGAGTTAGAGACCAGCCTGACCAACATGAAGAAACCCCATCTCCACTAAAAATACAAAATTAGCCAGGCATGGTGGCACATGCCTGTAGTTCCAACTACTCCGGAGGCTGAGGCAGGAAAATTGCTTGAACTGGGGAGGTTGTGGTGAGCCGAGATTGTGCCATTGCACTCCAACCTGGGCAACAAGAGCAAAACTCTCTCTCAATAAATAAATAAATGAATAAATAAGCTCTGTCATAAAGTCAGTTTATCATCCTTCCTACTGCGTGGATTCCCTTTGCTATGTAATGTAACCTAGTCACAGATTCCTGGGATTAGAACATGAACTTGCGAAGAGAGGGCATGATTCCTCCTGTCCCACAGAGACCTTTCTTTCTCTTCTGTCTCTCCTAATCTTCAGTCAAGCCCCAGCCCCCTGGTCTTCAAGGAAAATAAGGAAAGTGGAGGGAGGTTTGGGAATGTGTGCACACAGGAGTCTGGAAGGGCTCCAACTGGCTTTGAGATGTGTGTGGCAGGGAGGGACTCTGCAGGGAAGAGATTGGTGGGATAAAGAATATTGCAAAATTATCTGAGTAAACTATTTTGAGCAACATTAAAAAAAGAAAAAAGAAAAAGCCAAACAGATTTTTATCCCGAAGTTTGGGGCTGAGAAGAGATACATGGCAACTTGGCGGAGAATTATTTTTTCAGTGAAAGTTGGGATGAAATTAGCTGAAGCCAGCACCGAATGTAGGGTCTGCATGACCTAGATGAGTTGGCCAGGAATAAGTTGTTTTCTCTCTGCAGGCCTGGGAGTGTGTGTGTGTGTGGGGAGGAGGGTGGGGGCGGGGAAGCATAGTTTCTTTTTCTCAGTGAGTTTGGGAAATGCCGATAACCACGGTCCTCCTCAATTTTCCCATCACACTGTGGAACTACTGACATGTCCTGAGATTTATACCCCCATGACTTGGAATATCTATGGTTATAAATATGCTCATACAAAAGCTCATCCTCTCTCCTCTCTAGTAGAGCACTTTTTGTGAAAACATATTTTTTTGAGAGGGAGAGGATGTTCCCAAGGAGAACAGAACTCCGAAGCTGCTCTTCCCAAAAACAGCACGCTAATGCAGCAGCGCCATGCCACCAGACTCCGTCCTACAATTTCACCACCTGGGCAGTATGGTTCCCTTGCCATGCTACTCCACAACCTTCTTCCTTGGAGCCTGGAGTAAGCTTGTGATGTGACACAGAGGCAAGACACGGGCCTCCAGCATGAGAAAGATCTTCTTTGAATCATGATAGCCCTGCACCCTGGAGTGAATTATTGGGGTCCTCTGGGATACTCAACATCTTATCTGTAAAATGGAGTTGGAAATATTTGCTTCCAGAAAGAGTTGGGATGTTTAAATGAAATAATACATGTGGGGTGCCCAGAACAATTCTTCTTGGTGTGCTTTATATTATTTTTTATTTTTCTGAGACAGAGTCTCGCTCTGTCACCCAGGCTGGAGTGCAGTGGCGCGATCTGAGCTTACTGCAACCTTGCCTCCTGGGTTCAAGAGGTTCTCCTGCCTCAGCCTCCCGAGTAGCTGGGATTACAGGTGTGCACCACCATGCCCAGCTAATTTTGTATTTTTAGTAGAGATGGGATTTCACCCTATCAAGACCAGTCAGACTGGTCTTGAACTCCTGAGTTCAGGTGATCCACACGCCCTGCCCTCTCAAAGTGCTGGGATTATAGGTGTTAGCCACCGTGCCTGGTCCTGGTGCGTTTTAGACCCTTCTTTTTAATTCCCCTGCCCAAACCACCTCTAAAACCATTCATGAAGATTCCAAGCGATTGTGTCTCCTTCCCTTCATTTTGGCTTTCTCTCCTTTGCTGTTAGTTACCTGTTTCATACATTGCCAGACATTCAGCAGCTTAAAGCAATGCACATATTTATCATCTCCCAGTTTTCATGGTCAGGAGTCCAGGCATGGATTATCTGGGACCTCTGCTTAGGGTGTGACAATGCTGCAATCAAGGCAATGGCTGGGATGGCAGTCTCATGAGAAACTCCATGTCCCCTTCCAAGCTCGCTGGTTGTTGATGGAATTCAGGTCCTTGCAGGCCTAGAACTCACAAGGGCTTGCTTTTTTCCAAGGCCAGCAGGAGAATGTCCTCTTTTAAAGGGCTCACCTGATTAGGTCAGGCTCACCCAGGACAATCTTTCTTTTTAACTCAAAGTCATAGTAATTAGGAACTTTAATTATACCTGAGAAACTTCTTCATCTTTGCCAAATCATGTAACCTAATCATAACAGTGCATCCATCACATTCACTGGTTTCTTCCATGTTAAACAGGAGATTATCCAAGGTGATAACTCATTGAGAGGTCACCTTCCAATTCTGCCTTCCACAACTGTGATCCTCAGCCTTCTGTCAAAATGGAAGTGATTATGTCCATAGGTGTGAGTTCAAAGTACAGGGCGGAGTCACCAACTTACATCTTGACCCCTTACACATCTCCTTTCCTAGGAGTATCATGAGGTCAGCTGCTGGGTCACAGACAGGGAACAGTGTGGTGAGCAGAGAGACAGCTCACCTATGTTGGCCTCAGGACCTCCAGTTCTCACTGTGGTCCTCTCTTAGAAAATCCCCTCCCCCACGAAGGTCATTATTGTTTGTATGGATCTCATGGTCTTCTTGAGACATGAACGGTTCTTCAGTACCTGCTTCCTAGTATCACCTTTCATCTATTTTCTCTTTTTTCTTTCACACATCGGTGAATAGGTAACTTCAGGGAAGAATTGGTTGATCTTTCAATAGTTCAT